GATCTTACACAGGTGCCAAGGAGCTCAGAAAGTAACTGACTATGACTAGTAATAATCAGATATATAGAGATTAGAAGCACATGTGCAAACATCTTAATGTCAATTGCATTAAAAATGTATTTTTCTGTATGAAACTGTATTTTAATAATGAAATGGAGAACTTTTTTAAAGGTTAAAACCTCATATAATTTTATGTCTTATAGGGTTTATACTGAGTACAATATTGTATAACTGGAATAATTCAACTGTAAACCTAAATACTTACAGCTAATTTTGAAAGAGATGCATTTTAGCTCAGGAAATTGTTATTGAATATGTCAATGCTGTTGTAATGAAATGCTTCTTCTAATTATGTGGTTATTAAATAAATAATTTTTAAAAAAGCAGGAGGGGGACTAACTCAGAGATGAAGAAGAACAAGCTGGGGGAAGGTGCAGGTGTAGACAGTGGGGGAGAGGCATGCATGAGAACAACACAATGATGCATATTCATGAAGATGCCAAGAGGAAACCCATTGGTTTGTAGGCTAACATTTCATCAAAAGGTATACTGTCACTTTGAGTGGATTTCATACACCACATGTTGATGAAGTTGGAAAAGAGTAAATATGTATCCTGATAGGGCTGAAATATAGCACACTGTTCAAAAACGCATATGGAAAAGAACAGTCTAGAAAAGTATATGAAAATGACCCTACTAACTCTCAGAGGAAGGGTGGGAATGTAATAGGGAAGAAGTACAAAAAAGACAATTTAGAATAAAATGTTTTGTTTGTTTGCTAATTAATTAACTTTTGGACTTTTGGGAGATAGTGTCTCATGTAGCCCAGACTGGCCTCATATTTGCTATTTCACCAAGGATTCCCTTGAAATCCTGATCCTCCTGCCTCTGCTTCTGAGTGCTAGTATTTAGGCCTCTTCCAAGATTCCTGGATCTTCTTTCTTTTTTTTTTTTTTTTTTTTTTGGTCTTTTTTTGAAGCAGGGTCTCCCTGTAAGCCGCTGTCCTGGAACTCACTATGTAGACCAGGCTGGCCTTGAACTCACAGAGATCCACCTGCCTCTGCCTCCCAAGTGCTGGGGCTACAGGCATGCGTCACCACGCCCGGCTTATTTCTTAATGGTACAATTCATGGGAAGATGTGGTCTTCCTTCTCCTCCCGAGCTACCTTGACCTGGCTTCCTCACTCACCGTGATGAATGATGCCCCGGTCTGTTAATTTCTGCATGAGTTTAATCGCTGTTTCTCGGTCAGAGGCCTCCTTGTGTTCAATCAGCCAGTCAATCAGTTCTTTTGCAACAAAACAGTTTGGGTAGGTTTTGAGATGGTGCCGCCTATCTTTAATAACCTTTTCTTCGTGGAGCCTCAGCCTAGAAAGAAAAATGAACAAGAACTTGAGGATTGTGGATGACAGCATGAATTACTAAACCAGTGTCACAAGAAGTAACAAAATAAGCTCTCTGCATTGAAGGGTCATTAAAATATCTTCATGACAGTCATTTCCATCCTGTCAGCATCCCAAGGCTCCAGGAAGTGATTCCACCTGGGGCTGGGAGCTATACAGGTAACTGATTGTGGCCAACCTTGAGCTACCAGCCATTCAGGAGAGGGCGATAGTCTTTCCAAAGAATACCTTTGTCAAATTTCCTTACTCTGTCTCAAGGGGTAATTGCTTCAGCTGAGCAACAAAAACTTCACACACTTATTCAAACAATTTACCTTTTCTCTTTGAGATTGCTCACAGTTCTCCATATTTGTATTCATTCAGAAGACAGACTCATGTACGTCTACAACTAGAAACATGAACCAGAAAATAAAGACAAAGATGCTTGCCTTTGGGGGCATTTTTCTCCAAGAGGGACCATAATTAATCTTTTCCCTTATTTGTTTGTTTATTTCTGAGACAAGGTCTCCTGTAGGCCAGATAGGACAACGTCAGACTTGATTTGTAGCCAAGGATGACCTTGAATTCCTGATTTTCATGCTTCCATCTCCCAAGTGCTAGGGCTACAGGAACATGCCACCACACCTGGTTTACCTTAGCTAATCTTTTATGAGGCTTATTAGGTTCGACAAGCTGGTACGCTCACTTCACAGTGATTAACTCCAGTGATGTTTGGAACCACCTCACCAGAAGTTAGTATTACTGCCCTCATCCTTTCCTTGCAGAGACTGAAATCTCAGAGATTAAGTGTCTTGTCTAAAACCACAGTGCTAACAAGTAGTGAAAATGAGATCTGAGGCCTGTTGCTGTCCCTCAGAGTCTATCAGGCTGCCTCCAGCGAGAGAGGGATAAATGAAAAGTCAGGGAGAAATCCATTAAAGCTGTTGATCAAGAAAATACAACTTACTTCCAGACTGGTGAATTAGTGTGGAGAAAAGTCATTCAGGGTCTTCCCCACCCCTTCTGTGACTTTGTCAAAGGAATCATACACTTGTCTTTTCTTTAAGTTTCTGCCAATTGCCTCCATTAAAAAGAGATCAGCCTTGCATTTTCTTTTTAGTTTTCAAATGAAGAATCTGAACCAGTGGCCCAAAAAGTCACCTCCTATAATTCACCCTCCTGATTTCTAGGCTGCTTAACACATATTGTGAACATTGTTGGGAAGTGGGAATACCATATGAATAATCCATTTGACCTAAACAAGTGTCTTAATGTTTTTTCTCCCCCCTGGCTATAAAGAGGAGATTAGGAATAAACTTCCTGTCCCTGGCCATCTTGAGATTTAGGGGTGTAATGTATATGCCAAGCAACAACAACCAAGAATAAGACCAGCACCCCACAGATAATGTCCTTAAGAAAAAACTGAGAGACTAAGTGTAGCTCAATGGAAAAGTGTGTGTAGCATGTGTAGATGAGAGAGGATGAGAGAGAGAGAGAGAGAGAGAGAGAGAGAGAGAGTTTTGTTGTTTTTGAAACAAGGTCTCCTGTATCTCAGACTGGCCTCCAATTCCATATGTAGCTAAGGATGACCTTGAACTTCTGATCCTCCTGCCTCCACCAACCAAGTGCTAAGATTGCAAATGTGTACTGCTGTGCTGTGCTAGGAATCAACCAACTAAGCTACATCTCTAGCCTGTTTGGGGGTGGGGGGAGCCAAGGCATGGTCTCTTGTAGCCCAAGCTGGCCTCAAACTTGCTATGTAGCCAAGGATATGACCTTGAGCTCCTAATCCTTCTGCCTCTACCTCCCAAGTGCTAGAATTACAGCATACACCACCATGCCTGGCTTTGAATGGGTTTTAATCAAGTTGTCACCAGTACACTGGTGAGTACACTGAATTAGAATCTCTGAGGTTTAGATAGATCTTCTTTGTTCTACCACTATAGACCAACCTCTGTGCTCCTCAGATTCATAACTGCCTCTTCAGTTGAATCTCTAATTCCAAGTGTTCCCATACTGAATGTGACTGTATTTAGAGACAGGGTTTCTAAAGACAGAATTAAGGGCTAAGGATGGAGCTCAGATGTAGAGCATTTGCCTAGCACATACAAGGCCCTGTGTTCAATCCCCAGCACTACCACAACAAAGAAGGTCTGGAGAATAGTCTACAATTCACTATGGCCAGTGTCCTTATAAGAAGAAATTAGGACCTATGTATATGAAGACATACAGAGAATACCACCACATACATGCCAAGGAGGTCTCAGAAGAGGGCAATGCTACCAACACCTTGATCTGAGGTTTCCAGCCTCTATAACTGCGAGGAAGGACAGTTCTGTTGTCTAAGCCACACAGTCTATCATCCTTCGCTTTGGTAGCCCTAGTGAACACAGCCACTGAAGGCTGAAGACTGGAACATCCTGGAATGTCTGAGAAGGAAAGACTCAAGGACTCAGGCTCTGTGGTGGTTTCAATGAAAATGTCTCCCATAGGCTCCAAGTACTTGGATACCTGCTCCCCAGTTCATGGAGCTGTATGGGGAGGAGAGATGGTCATGGAACCTTTAGGAGGTTTGGCAAAGCTGCAGGAAGCACATCACTGAGGTGGGTTTGAGAGTTCTTAAGCCTTGTTGGATTTCTGTGGGTCTCTCCCTCCCCTCGAGGGTCGTTGGCCTCTGATCCATGAGGACAAAGGGAGCAGAAGCGATGAACCGGTTCAGGACGGCCAGTGAGCAGAACGGAAAGACTTTCCGGGGAGGCAGATTCAGTGATACAGCTCCAGATTCAGTGGGGGGTCAGGGAAAATATAGTGTGGAGGCAGCAGCCAAAGCTTCAGCTCATAGGTGCTCATAGTATGCTTTATTTACATGTGGCAGGGGGATCCTATCATCCGATTATAGGGGAATGCCTAATTATCATATAGAAAAAAACTGGGGGCAGTTTTATTGCAGGTAACTATGCCAACAGTCATGTTCCAAATAAGGTCAGGCATCCTTGCTCGGTGGCACTTTCCAGGTAAGTCAGGCAGAGAGCAGGAGGCCCCCTGCTGAGAAAGGGAGTCCTTCCATATAGCACCGAGCCCCTTAGAGCTATCCGGACATGGAGGACTATAACCTTAGCAGCAGGGTCCCCCAACAGATTTCCAGTTTTGTTCTGCTTCCTGTGCCTACTTGAAAATATGAGCACCCAGCTTTTTGTTCCAGCCACCTCCTGCTGCCATACCTCTGAAACGAGGGGGAAAGAGCATCCCCTAGAGGGTTCTTAGTCTCATTCATAACAGAATTTAAGAATGGATCCAATGGAAGCTTTTAGGACAATTTTATTAGAATTTTAAGGAAAATCCACAGGGCAGGAGCGCTGGTGATCAGCCACCTCGAGGAGGAGAATGGAGGGGAGAGGGAAAGAAAGCCATGAAGCCATGCAGGTTTAGAGCCTGCATGGAGGTCAGCCATGTGGCTGACTGACAGTCACATGGCTAGGAAAAGGAAGTTTTCGAGAAAAAGTAAAGAAACACAAGATGCTGGGGTAGCCCAAAGTGCTCTAGAGTAGCCCAAAGCATTAAACAAAGCAGTTTAGAAAAGGGAGAGACTTACAGAAACCTATATATCTACTCCTAGGTCCAGAAGCTCTGCACTGGGAGGTGGGATTCCAGGCAGGAAAAGTTCACTATCTCCTTAATGCACCAGGTATTCCACCCATATATTTAGCATAACTTAAGGTGAACCTGCCTTCCTAGGGGTGGTCCTTTGACCAGATGATTGACCAGTGAAACTGTGTGTCTTCCAACAGATAGATTAGAGATTTTATAGTCTTGACCAGTTAATCTATGGAGCTATTTGCTACTCTAACACCTCCTCTGCCATTATGGACTCTTACCCCTCTGGATTTTCAAGTCAAAGAAATTCTTTCTTCTGTAAATTGCCTTGGTCATGGTGTCTCATCACAGCAACAGAAAAGTGACTAATATAGAAATTGGTACCAGATAGTGGGTTGTTGCTGTGAAGAAATTGACCATGTGGGTTTTTTAAGAAATGTGGAAGACTTTGGAAGTTTAGACTAAAAAAGCAACTGAGTGCTGTAAGAAGAGTCCAACAGGTCATTCTAATAGGAGCCTGGAAGAAAGTAGGACTGAGAACAATGTAGTTCCAGCAGGAAATAAAGAGTTAAAGAGCTACTGGAATAGTTTGACAAATCATCTGGGGGACCTCTGCCTGCAGCCTAAGACCTTGCCTAAGGTCAAGTTGAAAAGTAATGGACTATTTCTTTGGCAGAGAAAATTTCAAGACAGTTTAATACTGAATTGGTGACTGACTACTAATGGTGAATATTATGGAACTCTACAATGAAAAGGAACAAGAGGAGCAAAAAGAAATACAGAATGTCTAAGTTGGAGAGAAAGAGAGCACTAGGAAGCTTAATAATGTTGGAGCCAAGGAACGTGCTGAAGGTGAGGCTCTCTTTGGTAAGATTAGAGCCATTAAGGAGAGGCCTCCAGACTTGCACTTGGACAATGGGAAGTGTACAAGACCCCACCCAGCTAAGCTTCCTTGTGAAAGGAAAAGGCCTAAGGAGTTTCCTCTTAGAAACCACAACCCACAAAAGCTTCTCCTTATGTGAATGAAGCAGGTAGAGGTCCATCCAGAGCTGGCAACAGAACTTAGCAGTGTCATTCACATGCTGCTGACTTTAGAGGGATGAAAGATGCAAGAGTGAGGGGTCATAGTTCTTCCTCTATAGTTTCAGAGAACCGCTGAGGCGAGGCAGCATGCAGCAGGGGAATCCCTGGGTAAAGAAGGCCCTGACAGGCAAAGAAGCCCTGAGAAGTCCTTGTGTGGATCTGTGAAGGTAAAGCTTGGTTGGCCATGTAAACCCCAAGATGTCGAAGATGCCAGAGCCACGAGACAGCTGCCAAGAAGAGTTGCACACAGAGAATCATACCTGTGACAAGACAGCCCAAGACAGAGATGTATGTTGCAGGCAGCAAAGT